GATATGCTAACAATTGATATGCCAAGTTCATACACATACAGTACGTGACGTCCGCGTGCGTCCGCCCTAGGTTGTCACCGTGACAATGTCACGTGGAGTGCATCGCGTGCAATCACGGTGTGCAATCACAGTGCTGTCATCGTACCATCTCTCTGCTGGCACAGTGTGGTCACCGTGATGTTGTTTGGCCAGCAGAAATTTGACCCAATTCTAAATTCGAGGTTAGGGTTCTCCCTTTGCCATTTACAGTATATGTAGACTGAGGCTGCGTTCGGGGAGATGCTATTTAGCGCTAATGAGCGCGTGCTCTGTCCTTGTTCAATTTTTGCAAGTAACAAGGACAGAGCACGCTCATAGCGCTAAATAGCGTCTCCCCGAACGCAGCCTAATTGTAAGTTTAAAATAATGTGTCAGAAATTGTTTTTTATTTGAGCGGTGCGTTGCGCCTCGTAAGACGCTTGCGCGCTGGACGGCCCCCGCGCACGACTTGCTCGCTCGCATGGCATGCGCAGGTATCTCGCACGCTCGCTCGCCAGCACGCCGCTGTGCTATCACGCTGTTACTGATAATCGCAATAAAGTGTGTTAATCCATTAATTGTGTAATTCCCTCACGATTCCAACATTATTGGCGACCGTGACAGGACAGAGAGTATCGAGTTGTGAACGTGAGAGAAGTGAGCAGTCAAAGACACATATCAAAAATGGATAGGTTAAAGAAGACACGTACGATTAGTCGAGCGGCGTTTACTCGCAATTTGGGCGTATTGAACACTGAATTAGCAAAGGAGAGATCAGATATACAAGAGCTTCAAGCGCGTCTTGCAATAGTAAGAGAGAAAGCGATCGAGCTTGAGGAAATTAATCAGAAGATCTTTGAGGCTATGGTCGAGGGCGATGCGGACGAAGAGCAACTTTTGCAAGAAACCGAAACGGCTGACGAGTATAGAATGAGATACCAGCAAGCAAAGGTTGCAGTAAATAGTATTTTTGAGCTCACCACTCCAGCACGACAGACAGAAGATATCGGTAACGTGAGGCACACGGCTCAGGACTTACACGTGCGCACTTTTAAGTTACCAAAAATACAGCTACCAAAATTCAATGGAGACATTAAGGATTGGTTACAATTTTGGGGCTTATTTAAGAACATTCACGAAGATCAGACCATTTCTAGAGAAGATAAGTTTCAGTACTTAATCCAAACAATGGTTAAGGATTCACGAGCGAGCGAATTAGTCAATAGTTTCCCACCAACAGCTGCCAATTACGACAAGGTGATTACGTGTTTAAAGAACCGTTTTGGCAGAGAGGACTTGCTGGTGGAAGTATACGTTCGCGAGATGCTGAAGTTAATATTAACCAGAACAAAGGCAAGTAATCAAACTTCTTTATCAAAGATTTATGATAGACTTGAAACTCATTTGCGTGCACTCGAGTCCTTGGGTGTTACGACAGCCATGTGTGCAGCAATGCTCTACCCCCTGGTGGAATCATCGTTACCGGAGGACCTTTTGCGAGTTTGGCAGAGAAATCCGAAGGCAATTGCGTCCACAACTTCAAAACAGAGATTGGATGAGCTGATGATCTTCCTTCAAGCCGAGGTATTGAGTGAAGAAAGGATTTCCATGGCGGTAAGTGGCTTCGGCTTACACGATGAACAGAATATTCAAGATAAGTCGAAGAGAAAAGGAAAAGCGGAACCAAAGGAGGTTGCTACAGCGGCGGGACTTCTTTCAACGAGGGAAGAAAAACGTACCTGTATATTTTGCGAGCAGAACCACGACAGCGCTTCATGTGCAAGAGCAAAGAAGATGACTCAGGAAGAGAGGCACAGAACGGCCAAAGAGAAAAATGCCTGTTTCCGTTGTTTAAAAACAGGTCACAGCTTTAAATTTTGTCGGTATAAAGAAAAATGTCCCTGGTGCGACAAGAAACATGTTCTTCTTATGTGTAGAGATAGGTCACCCAATACCTTTTCGGGAAATAGTCAGGCAGAGGAATCTAAGAAGA